CCACATAGCTTCTACCCCACGTTACTGTGTCTTTGTATACACAAGACCAATTGAAAGCGACACATAAGGGTGGCTGTGGCGTTTATGGCACTTGACTTTTTTTTAGGTTTTGCGCTATCGAGCCAACCATGGAACAAATTTGTGCCTTTTTTTGGGAGCTGAAAACACCACAGGCACCTTTCGGCTGCTATTTTTAAATTAGGCAACATTTCGCGCTTTCATTGTACATTTCGTTTCTGGTGATTTCTAGCTACCTTTCGCTGATTCCCTTTAGTCTTACGTGCCAAGGCCCCCACCACCTCCTTTAAAACCTGTAATGGGAAGCCCGACGTATGAAGTCTTTCAACCTAATTATTCAAACTTTTGCGGACAGTGTGAAAGCAGGACTTTGTAAGCGGAGCCCCAAGTATTGAAATCACGATCCACCTTTTTACAACATTCGAATATGCTGACGCATAATGAAGGATGCCCTTTTTTGACCTAGGCGAGAAACTCCAGTAGATATGGTTTGTGTGAAGATATAACGAAAATTATAGGAAACGTAACTTCCCGTCCAAAGGTTTTTCAAGTGTGAACTTAAGACCAAAGCCTACGTTCATAAACTTATCAACGTTATCACCTTCAGCAGACTTGGGATACACTAGCGAAAAATCGTCGACATATCGAAACACCTTTGACACTTAGGGCTTGCTGAAGACACCATCAATTTCTCTATCAATACTTTCTAGAAACATAAGACTAAGCACAGGTGCCACACATAATCCTGTACACACACCTGACCGCTGTATAAAAGTATCATTTTACCGCCCAACGGTCATAGAGTACAGATAGAGTTGCAGAAGTTCTAGAAAGCCTTCCAAAGACGCACTATTAGAGTTTCTGAAGGGGAGCTCCCCTTGCTCTTCAATACAGTACTTGACTGAGGCCAGTAATGTTTCGTCTGGAAGGGAATAAGAAATTAAAGACGTTTTCAATTTTCTGTAATGCCGAATTAGAGCGCAGCTCTTGAGAAGGAGGGGGTTAAGGGGGCGGAAGGGAGGGTATGCCCCTCCTCCCCTTCAGCACCCTCCCCTCCTTCTCCCCTCCCATTTAGCAAGAAATCTTCGCTAAATTTTTGCTAAATTTAGCAAGAAAATTAGCAAAATTTATCCCGCTAAATTTAGCAAAAAATTTATCGAAACTTTTCCGCTAAATTTAGCGGGAAATTTAGTCAAAACCTTTCCCGTTAAGTTCAGCGGGGAAACTTAATTGGTGTTAAGGTCACGTGACGTCAATTTCTCCACTAAATTTATCGGGTTAAGTTTCCCGGCTAAATTTAGCGGGAAAATGCTTGCCCGCTAGTTTTAGCGTAAAATTTCCCACTAAATTTAACGGATGAACTTTCCCACCAAAATTAGCAGAAAAATTTCCCCGCTAAATTTAGCGAAAAAATGTTTTTTTCTAAATTAACCGGAAAAACGTCCCATAATGCAACGCGCGGTTACGCCGACGGTGACGCCGCTCAACCCGGAAACGGCGCCTAAGAGCTGCGCTCCAAAAATGTCTGGTAGATCAACGCTGAACAAAAAGTGGTTGTTAAAATCATTGTTTCTAAAAGCTTCCATTACTGCTTCAGATTGCTGACTAAAAAGGGGTCCTTAATTTTCAAACCGGATAGGTGTTTTTGAAGAAAGCTAGCCATTTGGCGCTGCCACGTGCCTCTCTCAGTGACAATGGCACGGAATGGGCAGATTTCCTTATGGGTTCTGCACTGAAGAACACCTCAAGGGTTAAGCCCTGCTGCTTTCTTAATTTTTTCAGCCAATCGTGTCGAAAATGTCGTTCACAGAGCTTTAATGCCTGCGCCTTAATTTGTAGGAACACTTGCACCTGCTTGAATTTCTTATTCACGGCGGTACAGGCATTTTCATTAGAGTGTTCTTCTGGCATCAATACAAAGGATCCTTCCTCATCAGCCTCCAAAACTTGAAGGTGATTGTCGGCCAAAAAGAAAATCAGAGTTCGAGGATCATAGGTATGTCCAGGGCCAAGTATTGGTACCACCAAGCGCGTCAACAGATTGGTGTTGACGCCAAAAGCCATGAAGAGTCCGTTAAAGGCAAAACTTGGGACCAAGCCCTGAGACCTTTTTGAGCTCTGGCGGAACTTGAATGTCTCCCAAATAAGTATTTTGACCACCAGCGGGGGGAGGCTTTTTTTTTTGTTTTTTTTTTTTTTGCTAAACGTAGTCGAACGCGGCAATAAAAAAATTCAGCAACATTTGCAACTGACATGTTCATTTTATGAAAGAACCTACGACACCACCTTCTCGAGCTTGACTGTTCACTGAAACTTTTGGTGGGTCCCGTGCATTGCAAGCCTATCTCGTGTTCTCCGATACTTAATGACACAAAAACAATTCGGCCCAATTGAGACAAGACAACTCGCAAACTTGGAGGCACATTGTGTTAATAGTTTGGGAGACTGATACGTTAGCCACCCATCAGTGACACTGCTTCGAACAGAAATATTGTGTTTAGATCGGACTTTGGGGTAAAGAAATTTTAGTTACATAGTGTTGTGTCGCGTATGACACGCACTGCGTGACCTTCAGCACGTCCTCTTCTTTTTGTGTATAAATTCAGTTGCGAATCAACGCTTGTGAGTTGTGCAAGTTCCTTCTCTCTGTCCCTGTCTTTATGTGCGCTGTTCTGTTCACTCGGCCATCATACCAACTCGCCGAACTTATAATATTTTTTTTTGTTAACAGTGATTTCGCTAAAAATGCATACAAAACAGCTGGCCAGTTGTATTGCATGCAGAGCGTACCGGTATCTCGCTACTTTGGTGACGCTTGTTTGGACATAGCCTCCTCTATACTGAAAAAGCCTGGCAGATCGCCACGAAATGCGGCCGCCGAATTGAAAAGGTAAAGCGGCAGACAACGGATGAGAGGGGAGCCATGAAACCGGCGCCCCTCTGTGGCGAGACGCCGAAACACACTTGTCGCGAGCGAAAGAACGTCCGCTCGTGCTCCTCGCGTTCCTCGAGCTACCGCTTTGTTTTTGTTTTGTTTTTTCGTCTGGTTTGAGAACCATGTTTTGAGTCCTCGCCGCTGCAAAAGTTGTGCGCTGACAACCAGGTTCCTGCAGAAATAATCTGTGCTACCAGATCCCCGAGCTCCAAATCTGCGACCGGGTACTCTATGGCTCCGTCGTCGAACTGCCAGAGGCTATGGCTTAGAACCTTCGGCGCGTTCGGTCCTGGCTGATGTGCGTGAGTCTTCATCGCCGTGTGTTTCTAAAGGCTGAACTCCATGGACCGAATTATGCGACGAATAACTGACGAACGCCGCCCAACGGTACGTTCGCCTTGCGCGTGACGTAGCAGCCACCGTGCTGATGCCACGCGCAGAGCAAAAGCCGCCGGGTAAAGTTCGTCGATTTTTCGCTGCATATTCATCCCATGGAGTTCAGCCTTAATACTCCTGTTACACGGGTAAACTGTGGAAAACTCAGCTTTAACTGCTGTTATGCGGCACAACAGTTACCGCACTTTACTCTCAGACGGCTATTTCAGAAGAAGTAAAGAGCGCCCGTGCACTGCTTTGATGGGTGATCGAGATTATCAAGCGCACGTTCCCCCATTGCTTTGGCTGTATAGCCGCAGAATGTTGTCCTCAAGTATTGTGCGCTAACTGTGGCTTAGCGCGTAAATGCAGTAAAAGGAGCGATGAGACGATTTTGTGCTTGGCACAAACACCGCTTGGAACGAATCTCCTTTGCGTTAATGACCCGTGAAACACGCATTATTTTTTCAGCACACGCAATAGAAGTCGTTAAAAAATTTTAAAAGAAAAAATGAGCAGCGTTCACCCCCCCCCCCCCCCCCCCCCCCCCAACTCGCAGCAAGAAAAAGCGGCCACGTTAGTGTTGATCATAGCCACGCGCTGGGGGTTGGCCAAGCACGAGTCCCGCGCAGAGTTCCAGACGTTGTTATGGTTCGGCAATTGTCGACAGTGGAGAGATGGGACATGGGCCACCAACCGAATGCTTGTCGAGCTATCGATTATCACGAGCCCAAACCGAGTGCACACTCAGTGCTCGGAGGCCTAATGTGTGAGCCGCATTCAAATATCGTCACAGAGAGACATTGCTATCCCCCAGTTACGTCATCAAGTTTTTGCGAAGGTGAGGTTGAAAGGAAACGCTCGCTTTCGTTCTTAAAATTACACCACAACAAAGTAGTTCCTTCGTCAGTGGGGTTGCGCGCGAGTATTAGCGACGTGCGCAATCGAAAGCGTCGCTGTGGTCAGCCGGCCATGATTGGCCGAATGCTGACCATGACGTCAGGAAAGGATTTATCATCGACGAAAACAAGAGGAATGTAAGAGCCTGAATTTTGATGGTATTGACAGTGTCGCTTTGAGGGGGTAATGATTTCAAGCTTCCACCATGTTCATTGCAAACACCATCGAACTTGTTGTTTCCAAGGCAATGACGTCACAAAAGGAAGCCATGAAAGGCTTCCTGAAGACGTTTCTTGTATACCAAGATTTTGGTATCCACACACCGGTGAAACAAGCGTACATCTTCGTACCGCCACCATATGTTGGGTCGGTTCTTGGAGGCACTAAGAAATAAGTTTATTGTTTTGAAAGCGCAAGAAAAACAATGTAATTGTTAGAGATCCGTAGAGATGGGAATGATTGGTGAGTTGATTGCTTATGCAGTGCCGAAGACGCTTGTAATGGCGAG